TCCACTTCTTTATATAGCACAACTTTTCTTAGCTTCATCTTAGTATTTTTTGTTACATAGGCACGCTTGAGTTGGGAGAAGTTATGCAGGCTCTGTGCCTGCCAATCAATAGATGGGACAGTAAGTACTTGTTCCCTCTTACTGCTCTTCTCATTGCTTTTATTATCCTCAGTCAAGTGTTACCTTGGAAGGCTGGTATATTTAACCAGGCCTTGGTTAATTCAATAGTCCTGATGCAATTTGTGTTACCCTATCTCCAGCATTTACTGTAGTTCCTGGAACATGATAGTTATTCAATGAAAATTTGTTGAATGAACAAATGTTTCAATAAGGAATAAATGAATGAATGAATGAATGAAGAAACAGTGTGGCTATGCTAGATTTATCAAGATTTTCTTTTCCCTCTTTACATTAGCGTGTTCCTTGAAAAGCACATTTCTTTTTGTGTAATTTGAAGCAAATTGTAATTGAAGGACAAGTATAAATATATATATACCTAAGATTTCAATGGCAACAACTCTTTTTGTCTTTTTTTCCTTCTTTATTATTACTAATTTTTTGATTGAGGTAACATTGGTTTATAACATTATATAGATTTCAGATGTACATCATTATAATTTGACTTCTGTACACACTACATTGTGTTCACCACCAAAAGACTAGTTTCTTTATTTCGCTGTACAAATGTCTGCTTTTACTCCTTTTGCCTTCCCCCATCCCCCTTCTCCTCTGGTAACCACCAATCTGTTCTCTATATCTTGTAGTCTGTTGTTGTTGTTTTTTTTAATCTCCCACATATGAGTGAAATCATATGGTATTTGTCTTTCTCCATCTGTCTCATTTCACTAAGCATAATACCCTCAAGGTCTATCCATGTTGTAGCAAATGGCAAAATTTCATCTTTTTTATGTCTGAGTAGTATTCCATTGTATACATAAACACCACATTTTCTTTATCCATTCATCTGTTAATGGGCACTTAGCTTGTTTCCAAGTCTTGGCTATTGTAAATAATGCTGCAATGAACATAGGGGTGCATATATCTTTTCAAATTAGTGTTTTTGTAGTCTTTGGATAAATACCCAGAAGTGGCAAGGCTGGATCATATGGTAGTTCTATTCTTAATTTTTTGAGGACTCTCTGTACTGTTTTCTATAGTGACTGCACAATTTACAGTCCCATCAGCAGTGTATGAGAGTTCCTTTTACTCCACCTCCTCTCCAACACTTGTTATTTCTTGTCTTTTTAATAATAGCCATTCTGACAGGCGTGAGGTTATATCTTGTTGTGGTTTTGATTTACATTTCCCTAATAATTAGTGATGTTGAATATCTTTTCATGTACCTTTTGGCCATCTGTATGTCTTCTTTGGAAAATGTCTGCTCAGATCCTCTGCCCATTTTTTAGTTGGGTTGTTTGTTTGTCATTGAGTTGTATGAGTTCTTTATATATTTTGGGTATTAACTCCTTACTAGATATATGAATTGCAAATATATGCTCCCAATCCATAGGTTAAATTTTCATTTTATTGATGCTTTTGTTTGCTGTGCAGAAGCTTTTTAGTTTGATTCATTCCATTGGTTTATTTTTTCTTTTGTTTCCCTTGCAGGAAAAGACATGGTATTCTAAAAGATACCACTAAGATCAATGTCAAAGAGTGTACTGCCTATCTTTTCTTCTAGGAGTTTTGTGGTTTCAGATATTACATTCAAGTCTTTAATCCATTTTGAGTTAAGTTTTGTGTATGGTGTAAGATAGTGGTCCACTTTCATTCTTTTGTATATTGCTATCTAGTTTTCCCAATATCATTTATTGAAGAGATTTTTCTTTTTCTGTTGTATGTTCTTGGCTCCTTTGTCAAAAATTAGCTGTTCAGAGATGTGTGGGTTAATATCTGGGCTCTCAATTCTGTTTCATTGATCTGTGTGTCTGTTTTTCTGCCAATACCATCCTGTTTTGATTACTATAGCTTTGTAGTGTACCTTGAAATGAGGGTGTGTGATATCTCCAGGTTTGTTCTTTTTCCTCAGGATTGCTTTTGCTATTCAGGGCCTTTTGTTGTTCCATATAAATTTTAGGATTCTTTGCTCTATTTCCATGAAAACTGCGGTTGGGATTTTGATAAATATTGCACTGAATCTGTAGATTGCTTTAGGTAATGTAGACATTTTAACAATGTTAATTCTTCCAATCCATGAACATGGAATATCTTTCCATTTCTTTGTGTCTTCCTTGATTTCTTTCAACAATGTCTTATAACTTTCAGTGTACAGGTCTTTCACCTCCTTGGTTAAATTTATTCCTAAGTATTTTATTATTTTTGTTGTGATTGTAAATGGGATTGTTCTTTTGATTTCTCTCTCTGCTAGTTCATTGTTAGTGTATAGAAGCACAACTGATTTTTGTATGTTTATTTTGTACTCTGCAACTTTACTATATTTGTTTATTATTTCTAACAGGTTTTTGGTAGATTCTTTAGAGTTTTCTACATAGAAAATCATGTCATTTACAAGTAGTGACAGTTTTACTTCTTCCTTTCCAATTTGGAATTCTTTTTGTTTCTTTTTCTTGCCTAATTTCTCTGGCTAGGACTTCCAATACTATGTTGAATAAGGGTGGCAAGAGTGGGCATCTTTGTCTTGTTCCTGTTTTTAGAGGAATGGCTTTCAGTTTTTCACTGTTGAGTATGTTATTGGCTGTGGGTTTGTCATATGTGGCCTTTATTATGTTAAGGTACTTCTCTTGTATATCCATTTTATCGACAATTTTTACCTCAAATGGATACTGAATCTTGTCAAATGCTTTTTCTGCATCTATTGAGATGATCATGTGATTTTTATTCTTCATTTTGTTGATGTGGTGTACCACATTGATTGATTTGTGGATGTTGAACCATTCTTGCAACCCTGGGGTAAATCTCACTTGATCATGCATATGATGCTTTGAATGTATTGTTGTATTCAGTTTGCTAATATTTTGTTGAAGATTTTTGCATTTATATTCATCAGCGATATTGATCTGTAATTTTCTTTTTTTGTGTTGTTCTTATCTGGTTGTGGTATCAGGGTAATGTTGGCCTTGTAGAAGGAGTTGGGAAGTATTCCCTCCTCTTCAATTATTTGGAAGATTTTTGATAACAGGTATTAAATTTTCTTTGACTGTTTGGTAGGATTCACCAGAGAACCTGTCTGGTCCTGGACTTTTGTTTTTTGGAAGGTTTTTGATTACTGTTTCAATCTCCTTGCTAGTGATTGTTCTATTCAGATTCTCCATTTCTTCTTTTGAAATGTTGTATGATTCTTAGAACTTATCCATTTCTTCTAGGTTATCCAATTTGTTGACATGTAGTTTTTTGTTTTCTGTTTTGCTGAGGAAGGTTCACCCTGAGCTAACATCTGTGTCAATCTTCCTCTATTTTGTATGTGGGTCTCTGCCACAGCATGGCCGCCAACAAGTGGTGCAGGTCCATGCTCGGGAACTGAACCCAGGCCACCAAAGTGGAATGCACCAAACTTAAGCACTAGGCCACAGGGCTGGCCCCTGGCGTGTAGCTCTTTATAGTATTCTCTTATAATCCTTTGTATTTTTGTGGTGTCTGTTTTAATTTGTCCTCTTTTATTCTGATTTTATTTATTTGAGCCTTCTCTCTTTTTTTTTTTTAGTGAGTCTAGTTAAAGGTTTGTCACTTTGGTTTATCAAAGTAACAGCTCTTAATTTCATTGTTCTTTTCTATTACATTTTAGTCTCTATTTTATTTATTTCCACTGTGATTTTTATTATTTCCTTCCTTCTACTGACTTGGGGCTTTGCTTTTTATTCTTTTTCTAGGTCCTTTAGGTATAATATTAGATTGTTTATTTGAGATTTTTCTTGTTTCTTGAGGTAGACTTGTATTGCTATAAACTTCCCTTTTAGTACTGCTTTTGCTATATCCCATAGATTTTGGTATGTTTTCATTTTCATTTGTCTCCAGACATTTTTTTATTTCTCTTTTGATTTCTTTGTTGATCCAATAGTCGTTCAGTAGCATGTTGTTTAGTCTCCACATATTTATGACTTTTCCAACTTTCTTCTTGTAGTTGATTTCTAGTTTCATACCATTGTGGTTGGAATGGATGCTTGATATAATTTCAATCCTCTCAAACTTAAAAAGGAAAGGGAAGTTTATAGCAATACAGGCCTACCTCAAGAAACAAGAAAAATGAGTCATGTTTTGTTTCCCAACATATGTTCTATCCTTGAGAATGTTTCACGTACACTTGAGGAGAATGTGTATTCTGCTGCTTGTAGATGGAATGTTTTCTTTGTATATCAAGTTCATTTGGTCTAATGTTTCATTTAAGGCCAATGTTTTTTTGTTGACTTTCTGTCTTGATGATCTATCCATTGATGTAAGCAGGATATTAAAGTCCCCTACTATTATTATGTTGCTGTCAATTTCTCCCTTTAAGTCTGTTAATAATTGCTTTATAGCTTTTGGTGTTCCTATGTTAGGTATATATATTTTAATAAATGTTATGTCTTCTTGGTGGATTTTCCCCTTAATCATTACATAATGTCCATCTTTGTCTCTTGTTATCTTTTTGGGCTTGATGTCTAATTTGTCTGATATAAGTATGGCTACATTCTATTTCTTTTGTTTGCCATTTTCTTGCAGTATCACCTTCCATCCTTTTGCTTTGAGCTTGTTTATCTTTAGACCCAGAGATGGGTCTCCTGGAGGCAGCATGTTGTTGGGTCTTGTTTTTTAATCCATCCAGGCCTGTGTTTTCTGATTGGTGAATTCAATCCATATACATTTGAGGTGATTATTGATAAATGAGAACTTAATACTGCCATTTTATCTTTTGTTTTCTGATTGCTCTATTTTCCCATTGTTTCTTTTTCTTTGTGTTTCTGTCTGCCATTTCAGTTTGGTAGTTTTTATCATGTTTTTCTCAATTTCCTCTTTTTTTATGTTTCATGTATCTGCTCTTAATTTTTGTTTTGTGGTTACCATGAGGTTTGTATAAAAAGTATCATAGATAATATAGTCTTTTTTCTGCTGATAGCACCTTACCTTCATTTGCCTATACAGTTACCATCTTTTACCTCTTCCCCTTCTATGTTTTTGTTGTCGCAAATTATCCCTTTTTATGTTATGAATTCATTACCAAATTGAAGTGGTTATAGTTATTTTTAATCCTTTCTTTCCCTTTAACCTTTATGTTATAATTAAATATTTATCAACCTATTCTGATATAGAGTTGCAATTTTCTGATTCTGTTTATTTACCACCTTGCTCAAAGTTCTGTATATCTTTGCCTTTTTGTTTCAGGTGGGAAAGCTCCTTTCAACATTTCTTTGTAATAGGTCTAATGGTGATGAACACCCTGAGCTTTTGTTTGTTTGGGAAAGCCTTTATTTCTCCTTCATATCTGAAGGATAACTTTGCTGTATAGAGTATTCTTGGCTGACAGCTTTTATCTTCCAATATTTTGAATATCTCATTCCACTCTCTCCTGGCCTATAGAGTTTCTGCTCAGAAATCTGATAGCTTAATGGAGGTTCTCTTGTAGATTATTGCTTTTTTTTTCTGGCTGCCTTTAACATTCTTTGTCATTGACTTTCGACAGTTTTACTATCATGTGTCTTAGAGAAGGTCTTTTTGTCTTGAAGTAACTGAATGTTCCATTAGCTTCAGGAATGTATATATCCAGTTCCTTTCCAGGGGTTTGGGAATTTCTCAGCTATTATTTCTTTAAATAAGCTCTCTGCTCCCTTCTCTTTCTCTTTTCCCTCTGGGATACTCATCATCCTTATGTTTTCCTTTCTAATGGAGTCAAATAATTCTCAAAAAATTTCTGCATTTTTAAAAATATCTTAGCTCTCAATCCTTGTCTACCTGCATCATTTCTAGGTTTCTGTCTTTGAGTTCACTAATTCTCTCTTCCATATGATCTCCTCTATTTCCATGCTTTATAGTACATTTTTCATCTAATTTATTGAATTCTTCAGCCTAGAATTTCTGTTTGGTTGTTTCTTAGAGTTTCAATCACTTTGGTAAACTATTCCTTCTGTTCATTGATTTTATTCCTGAGCTCATTGAACTGCCTGTCTGAGTTTTCTTGTATTTCATTGAGTTTCATCCTGGCAGCTATTTTGAATTTTTTGTAAGTTAGATCACAATCTTCCATGACTTTATGTTTGGTTTCTGGAGAATTGTAATTTTCTTTTTGTGATGCCATGGTATCATAGCTTTTCTTGGTGTTTGGTGAGTTATTCCTCTTCTGGTGCATTTGTCATAATGAACATTTTTCTTTTTTAGATATATCTTTGTTTTGATTCTAACTATTCAACTGTTTGGAGATTAGAGGTCTTTATTTTGTTTTTTGTCAATGGTGTTATAGCACCAGTTTTTGGTTTCTCTTACCTGAGGTGCCTTTGGCTATATTTGAGGATCAGCACTTTCTACCCTCTACTACCTCTAATAGGGATGTCATTGGTACTCTCATTGCTGTCCCCTGCACCTCCGGGAGTGACTGATGCTATGCTGTTGACAGTGTCACTGTGGTCACTGGCTTCGCTCCTGGGGTACAGGTATGGCTTGCACGTGCCATGCCCGAGATCACCTAGGATGCAGACACTGCCGCCATGGTGGAGGTAAGGGGACAATAGTGAGGCAGCCATTTTTGTGGGGCACTGCCTCCACTGCTGCTCATTTCCTTGTGGCTGCAGGTGCCACTGTGGTTGGCAGGACATAGTTGTGTGTGCACTTCTGTTGCTGCTTACCAGATTGTCTGGGGCTGAGGGCAGCTGGCTTAGTAGTCACAGTTTGGGGGCCAGGATCTTGGGCACCACCTCCACTATCCCTCCAGTTCCCCTCCTCTATGTGTGGATTTCTCCATTGTCCTGGTATGCTGGGGAATGTAGTCTTTTTGAGTTATGGATGTTTTACTCGTTGCAGATTGAAGAGAAGAGACGCAAGGAACATCTCATACTGCCATGATGATGATGTCATCCTCTTTTTTTCCTTCTTAATATTGACTTCACATTTTAGGGAAAAAACAAACCTCATGTTTTTTACTTGTGTTGTCCTGGGCTGTTTTTACTACTAATAATAATTACTGTCTCTGAATGAATGGAGCAACAAAAAATAGCTCTTATAAAACACAAGGCATTCTTCATATCAAAATAAATAGTTAAGGTTATACTTCAGAATTGATACTATGTTTTTTAGCAAAAAAAAAAAAAAAATGTTCCTTCTCCATTTTGGGGGAAGTAGACAAAATGAAAAACAATGTCACCTGAATAAAGACTACCAAGTTGTAAGGAAAAAATATTCCTGCAAAGAAAGAGAAAGTGTTTTATTACTTTTAGTTCAAATTATTCAAAAGAAGTTTTTTAAAGACACTCTGGAAATAATAAGTGTTCTGTCTGGAAGCAATTTCTTCCCTGTGTGTATGCTAAACAAATTATGATGTGATCAAAGAAAATTAGAAAAGGACAAATTTCTTCTTTGTAATATTTTCATAGGAATTACATAGCACATTTGAGACTGGGGTTAAGGCTCTTTATTTCCAGGAGCCAAAATCTGTGACTAAAATGATACCATTTGAACTCTACGGATTATTTCAGACGAACTCCCTCTATCACCCCAGTAGCCATTTTGAGATTTTCCAACTTGTTAGATGATAATATAAATGTAATAGAACCAGCATCAAAAGTCCAAGACATAACATTGACACACACAATATCCACATTTGCAAATAAGTATTTCACTATTTATTTCATTTGCAAATTTTCAAGTCGCTTAAAAATTGTAAAATCAGCCACATTTATTAATTTGTTCATTTAAAAGTTCTATAAATATTTTATACTTTTGTATTAATTTATTCAAATATCAGTAATTACTAACAAGTAGAAGTAGAAATTCATTTTGAAGTAGTCTTTCTCAAGTCTGTGACCTTAAATTCTAAACGAATTCCTGTATCAAAATTGTAAACTATGAATAAAGTAGAAGTCAAAGTCATATTCAATATTGCAATTCAAATCTACTATTATTTATTGCATCATGCAAATAAAAATATAGAACCATGATTTTTAACCATGTGACAAGTAAAACTTTAGTATTGCTCAATCAATCCAGATGGTATTTGGTAATTTCAGAGAGAGGTAATGAGACAGAAAGGGAGAAATCTGATAATGTGTCTAATATCCATGTGAAAATAAATTTTTTAAAAAAGGAATCATTAGTTTGTAAGACACAGAAACAGAATCATTTAAGCTGAAATAAAAATGGGTGTTTATATAAGGATAAAAGAGGAGTCCTTGGAGATAGAAAGAAATGGATTTGAATCCATTCTGAGCTGGAGACGCACTGTGAAGCTTTTCTCTCTTTCTTTCTCTCCACCTCTCTTTCTCTTCCTAGTCTCTCATCTCTCTATTTCTATGTGCCAATATTTGATTTTTCTTCCTCTGAAGTTTGGTTCCTCTGCTCATTTAATGGCTTAAACACAGTCAATTATGATTGTACCAAAGTGGCAAACTCAGTCCATGGATCTTCTGAGAACTTCAGTTCAAGATGACTATCTTCTGGCTCAGTGCCACACAGTTAACTTTGTGCACATGTTCAAAATATTTATGATACCGATTTCAATTGGTCTGTATTTGGCCAAATATCCAACCAGATTTTCATGAGAAGTAATTGTCAAATAATAGTCAATTGTAATAGTAGTAGTCAAAGCTATTTCAGATCTCCTATTCTAAGACTGTGACTGAGGCTTGTTCTCTAAGGAAAAAAAAGTGTATGAGTGAACAAAATTTTTAGCAACTTTAATGTCTTAAAATCTCTCAGGTTGGCTAGAAGTCATAAATTACTTTCATTTCACGACTAATTCATAAAATGACTATGTTTATTTCTCAATTTGTCAATCACATTGAAAATAACAAATGTATTTTGAAAATCTCTATCAATTTATCTGCTAATATATAGGCTCATATGCTTTCAATACTCATACCATTTTTACAAATTGCTGGATGTTAATTTTGTTTTAACTTCCTACTTATATTTTGATTCTCCAGCCTTCTCTACTTCTAATTGACAGCCAAAGAGTAGAATTAGCTCTGATGTCTGTGGCAAAACCTCACCAAGAGAATTAATTACAGAAAATATTAAATTCTATAGTTTGCAAATAAGAAAACTGGAAAATAATTTTATATAAACAACTTATAGAGCACACATATCCCACTTTGGCAAAGTCTCAGTTTTCTTTTTTTTTTACATAGTACTTAAATTTTTGGTATGAATTATTGAACAAATTGACCTGGAATAAGTAGTATGGTATTACAACTTTCAGACTTTTCAAATTCATAAATGGAATTAGTAGCTGTAAAAAAGGATTACTGTTTTATTATTAGCTGTCTGATTTTTGAAATAAGAGAATACAGTATGTTCAATAGTATAGTCCGCATATTAAGCATACAAGCTTCCTATTTCTTCATACTCTTAAGAATTATAATTCAAATATAGACTTTATAGTTGAATAAAAGTTTTTTAAATTATCTTGACTAAATGGGAAAATCATGGCTTGTAAAAATAAAAGCAAAATAAATATATAATGCAGTGGAGTTCACCAGCATGAAATAAGTGACATTTAACACTGCACCAAATTTAACTATTTATTGACATTTTGTTTAGCTTGGTTTTCAGCATGGCTATGTATTTAATTAAATATGCTGAATGTACTGTCTTACAGTGAATACTTATTATGTTAATAAAAATCACAGATGAGAATTTACAGAACAATAGTGCTTAGAAATGGGGTTGTGTTAATACAAGTAATTCACAATAGCAGGTGAGTCTCCCCAGAGATTTACTACTTATTCTCTAGAGAATGAACTAAAGAGATTTAGTTACCTTCATCAGGAAGCTATAAACTCAAGGGAATAACTTTTATTATGAGCAAATGTTTGAAAATTTGTTATTCGTTATCAAAAATTAAAGACTAAATAGATTCATTGGGAACATTAATTACATAGACACTTAACTGTCGTTCTGGACTTTCTTAAGATGGTTTCATTAAAATAATTTTAATTAGTATGTGGATGTTGTTGCTATTTCCAAACATAATATGCTGAGACGGTCATTAATTGAATATTGGAGAAAATATCTGAAGCTGGAAGAAATATCTGATTTATATGGGAATTATTTATCTTAATAAATTATTTTTAATCCAAATGTGGATGTTGCAGTTTGAAACAGATAATGTTTGTATGGTTATTAATACTGGAGGAAGTCTACGATGCTCATTCCCCCTCAGTGAGCAGTGCAGCAAATTTCTTTTCTAGCATGATTAGACTCAGCATTCTATATATTATCTTTAGCAGATTTTGTCTCATTCTTTGACAATATGTCCATTCTTTTCTATTTTATTTTTTTCCTATTTCCTGTGTGTAAGACTGTGGCTAAGTGATCTTACTATTCTGGAATGTAGGCACTGGAACAACTGTTCCTGAGGGAAATATGAAAAGTGATCAGACACAACCGAAAGAGCCAGGTAGACAAACTTAGTATGTCCTGGTACATTTGCAGTGTGGTGTCATCAAGACTCCTCTTGCTTGAGTAGGAAGGTGTATGATCTAGATCATGCTTTTTTTTCCAACTAATATTCTTTAAGCCTACAACTGAATCTCTGTCCTCAAAATCTTAACATTTCATGTTGAGGAAAGATAAAACCAAAGAAAAGTGTAAGTCTGGGAATAAAAAGTAGATTTATAGTCTCTCAATGGCCTAGAACAACATTTGCCTTAGATTCTCCATCTCGACCTGATGAAGGAAGGTATTATTTTCAAGCAAGAAATAGCTCAAGTACTTAGCATTCCAGATGCCATGGAAAGAGAATGTCAAGCAATCACAAAAGAAGCCAGATGTAAACAAGTAGATAGGATTCTCCAAAGATGCTCGGCCTTCACTTGTTATATCAACATTTCTTCTCCTGGCTGGTGGTGAGAAGGAAGCCAAGAGAGGACTACAGAAAAACTTTTGTAAGACAACAATCAGTTGTACCAAACTTTTAATGTGCAATTGTAAGCAAATTTAATGAATAAATAAATCAGAATCCAAAACACAATTTGTGATATTGGTTCTCTGATATGAGTTATGAAAGCAATTCTAGTTACCTGAAGAGGCTTCATTCACTAGGTTACAAAATTAAAAATATAAGAATATTTTATAAAATGTTATGATTATTAATGTTTTAACGAAGTCTTTTGACAAAAAGTTAACATAATCTACCCTTCTACATTTGACACCAGAAAAATAAATAATCCTTAACACACTATAAATCTGATAAACTTGATTTAATAATGGAACACATGTATCCTAATAATATAAATAAGGCTATAGATATGATAAAATAATTCAAATAATTCTTAGGGTTAAAATTAATGGTGAAGTCTAAACATAAAATATTTGTTAGGGTGGGACTACCTGTGAAAGTTGTTATCATGAAAACGGAATTCAATGAGTTCAAGTACAGTCGTGTGTCGCTTAATGACAGGGATACGTTCTGAGAACTGCGTCATTAGGCAATTTCATCATTGTGTGAACATCACAGGGTGTACTTACACAAACCTAGATAGAATAGCCTACTACACACCTAGGCTATATGGTACTAATTTATGGGACCACCGTTGTATATGAAGTCTGTCATTGACCAAAACACTGTTATGCATTGTATGACCGTATTAAAAAGTAGGATCTGCTATCTGCATATCAAGATGAAATAAGTTATGTAGTATTATAAACAAGATGATTCCTCATACTTGCATGTGTACATAATAAAGTCTGAGACTAAGTAAAGATATGCATTATATGATTTATGATTCTCAGGTAAATAATAGATATTGTTTTAAAATATAATATAGTTGGAAATGTCCATCTACATACACATAAAAATGGGGGAAATATATATAAATATATCATATTCACTGGTAGAGAAGAGAAAAGTAACCATTCAATCAGGAAGTCGTTATTCCTTGAAAATTAAAGTTTGACAAGATAACAATTTATCTGGCTTTCTTTCTGTTATTATTATTATTTTTTTAATTTTGGGGGGCCAAGTACTAGGATTTGTCAAAGATTCGTGCAGATCTACCCCCATCATGTATCACATAAACTACCAGCCCCTGATGAAATCTGTATCCTTGTCAGTGTGTTTCACATCTCAAAGCTCCTTTGCAGCTAATAGCCAGGTGACACAATTATGCCAATGAAATATAAGTAAAACTCTCTGGATGTGACTTTTGAGAATCCTCTTTTAAATATCACAATTGACTAGCATGTACCATTTTGAACTTTTCCATGTTTGGAAGACAGACATAATGTTGAAGTGACAGAGCCATTTTTTTGAAAGTTCTCTTGCGCCAAGTACTATGGTATCATAGAAAGTCAAAGGTTCATGAAGATCTACCCCCATCATGCTACACAAACTACTGGCCCTTGATGAAATCTTTATCATTAAACCAATGTGTTTTCTAAAATCTCCTCTTAAAATTAAACTTTAAGGTTGAGATAATTGTAGATTCACATTCAGTTGTAAGAAATAACACAGAGAGTTCCCATGTCCCCTAACCTAGTCTCCCACAATAGTAACATCTTGCAAATTATACCACAATATCACAGCAAGGTTATTGACATTGAAAAAGGCAAGATACACAACTGTTCCATCACTGCAAATATCATTTATGTGGCACTTTTATGGCCAGTCTCACTTCTGCTTTGCAAATGTTTCAGTAATTGGGGCTCCAATAGACAATTTTTCTTTTCTATATGTCCAGCTGCTTTAGAATTATTGTGTAGATCGCAAAATCTTAGAGTCTTTCTCCTGTAAATGATTCCATAGCTTTGATTCCTGTATTATAAACTGAATTTATTGATCAGAAGCTATATTTTGTGATACAAAAATATAACTTTGTTGGCCGAAGTATAAGGTAGGGAAATAATTCCAAATTCAGACTAGGTGTTTTTTTTAGTCAAGCCTACCCTACCCTCCACATGATGAAAGAGCTATGAGTAAAAGTAAATCTGAATGAATCATGTTTTAAATAAATTATGCATTTTATTTTTCTTAGGTGAAAGTAGGCCGGGATATTCACAGAAGCTCCTTTACTACTATCTGAGACTCTCTATAAAATTATATGCAGCCATCCTTTGCTTACAGTTTGTTGCCTCATAATCTTAGCAAGGCTCTGCCACTTCAGCATTACGTCTATCTTCCAGACCTGGAAAAGTTCAAAATGGTATATGCTAGTCCACTGTATGATATTTAAGAGAGGATTCTCAAAAGCCTCATCCAGTGAGTTTTACTTACATTTATTTCATTGCCATAACTGTGTCACCTCATTATTATTAGCTGTAAAGGACCTGAGAGATATGTTTCATTTATTAAAGCTGGCTATACTGTTGCCTTTTTTAAAATTTAAGTTCTTTCCTAGGGAAGTAGAAAATACATCTTAGGTTGTTAGCAGTGAATGTCACATGGGACTAGTGCATTCATTGGCCATTGCATATATATATTGTTGCAGATCCTTACTTTGTGTCATCACTCCTAGGCAAAATGAGCAATAAAGATGTTCTGCTCAAAGTCTCTCAACTGGGAAAAATTTCTTTCCTCATGATGCCTCAGAGACACCCCTCTGTGGGATACGCATAGCCTGAAGAGCAGTATACAAACCATGTTAGAGCTTTTTCCTGTCCATTCAAGCAGTAATAGTCAACTTGCTATGAGAGAGTAAGATAGGATTCTCTAAATGGACTTGATGACGAAGGGCTGCTAAACATGCCTGTCTTTATGGATCAGGTAATGTCCTATTTGTCAGGGGAAACTAGAATATTGATTACATGAGATTCCATAATATTTCTATTAGGACCAAGGATTCTTTATCAAAAAGATAATTGTTACATCTAAGAGAGAATAAATATTCCCTCAAAAATTGAATGTACATGGTTTATAGTCACTTTAATAAAATTGTAACCATTTCTAGTAATTTAAATCACTTTTTCTACATATAAAGTCTCAAACTTTTGAAACAAATTTAAGTCAGAGGCCCTAGATTTTAAGGAAGTGGAAGAAAAATATTTGGCTTTCTTGACTCCCAATGTATGAGGAATAGTCACACCATCCAAAAAGATTTGCTGAATAACATATTTCCCAGATGTGAGTGCAATTTCAGTGCTGATAAATAAGATAAATAAATGCTCAATATAGAATAGCTATCAAATTCATTCAAGACAAATTTTAGGCTACTGTATTATCAAATAACTTTACATAAAAGTAAAGCAAATGACTAGATACTTGATGAGTTGAGAGACATTACTAACACTGTCAAATTATGATTGATTTTTCAATAAGTCAGTGATCAGTTTGAAGTGTTGGAAGAATCAGCCTCTCTCTATAGTCTACAGGAAAAACTATAGGTAAGAATATTTTGAAATAAGTCAAGAAAACACTAATTCCATGCATCTAGAAATGGAATTTACTACAATGATTACAAATGATGGGAATAAAAACATGTGCAGCAGAAAAAACCTTAGGTGGACAAATTTACAGTTTGAGAAAATGTAAGATGTTTAAAGTCTATAGTTATTAATTGTGCTATTTATCACATATATTTGCATAAAATATTTGACCCTATCATGTTTTTTTGATCCAACAGTGTGAATGGTGAATTTCATTCACTCTCATGAACTCAACCATTGTCAATTTCACGAATTTTTGTCAGAAATAGAAGCTGAATATCCTGACCTACCACATAGTGGTTAGTTCACTTAGTAGCAGTAAAGTTTTATAGCAGTTATTTGAGCTGAAAGCCAAGATTGAAATTATTGTGAATGAGAACCATCCTCAATCACTACATTGAATGGCTATGAAATTAGCTTTTCCTGCTGATTTCTGCAGATAATATTTCTAAATGAATTCATCTGAAAATTACAGAGCAAAATAGTGTCTGTATGCAAAACCTATACAGTTGTAATATTATTTCAACAACTAAATTTTGAGTCATTTAACTAATATCAAGCTGCTCAATACTTCCTCTGTAGTCATATGTTGAACAAAAAGCATATTTTCCATTCCTACACAAATTTGCAGGAGGTAAATTTTCTGTGAGTTCAAACTACAGTTCCAGTACTGTTTTTTTTTTAAGTTTTATGTAAGTATAAAGAAATGTCCACATTTCAAATTCCATTTGATTGTACAATTGAGGCTTTTCCACCTGACCTTCAATTGTAATGATTATTCTGCAATGTAATGATATGCTAGAAGACAAATATCAAGAGAAGAATCTAACAGAATACTATAAATCCCATCCAAGTGTTGCATATGCTCAATTAAAATAATACAGTTGTGAATCAATATCAATATTTGGCAGTATCCCTCTGTGTTAAAAGACATTTTCAAAGATGAAGCATGGAAAATCTCATTACAGATGAGTATCAACAGATGAGTTTTTGTAAATAATTTTGATGATAGGTAAAACAAACTTTGAATCCCAATTATGCAAAATGTTATGCCCCAATAAAGAATTTCATTGTCCTTATTAGTAGACCTGTACTGCAAAAGAAGTCTACCAACTATTATACATTTCATTTTTGTCAATAAATCTGTGGAAAAATGCCATTTCTCTTGGTATATAAGCACCTATATAATATCCGCAATTTTGCCTCTTGGCCCACAGAGCCTAGAACTTTTACCATCTGATCCTTTACCAAAAAAAATAAAAACCCAAAAAACTGTGTACCTTCCTTTGTTACTGACTGCTTATTATAAATTGTCAGCTCAAATATTTCTTATTAGGAAAATTTTACCTAGCCTTCTAATCGGGTCTAAGAAACTAGGACCTTTTAGAGCAATTATCACATTTGCCATTTATGATTTGTGTACCTTTTATACATTGTACCAGATTTAGAATAAAATCTAAACACTTTTCCATTGTCTATACATCTCTTAACTGTTTTTTGCCTACTCTTCTGAACCCCATTTTTGTACCATTTGACAGCTTATGCACTACTGCTTCCACACTGCTCTTTCATCTTTAAACAGTAATTAATCCTTGCCTTAGAGTCTTCGTCATGGATACGCTTTCTGTCTGAATCTCTTATCGCCCAATTCTTCAAAGGTTTGGCTCTTTCTCATAATTTAGATCTCAGAAGTAATATTAGCTCCTCAGAAAAATCTTTTCTGAGAACCATACCCAATGCTGCCTATTCCACCAGTCTCTGCAAATAATATCTCATATTTAAATTGCCTTCAAAATACTTATTGCTATATTAAATAAATTCATTTATTTATTTGTGTATTTATTAACAATCTCTCTTCCATTTTTCCCTACGAAAGTGCTTATTAGGAAGCAAAATTTTTTTCAATTAATGCATGAATTAATGTGTCTCACAGAAGATTATACTTTCTGAATGTAGGGACTATTACATGCTCTTAGCACAGTGATTAATACATATCTAACAATGTAAAATGGATGACCAATAACATTCTACTTGCTGCTAAAACTTGCAAGTCAGAAATAAAGAAACTAGCATTTCTGTATTGATAAGGTAAAAACAAAATTCACCTTGCCTTTACTCACAGTATTAATTTATCATGCACTCTTTCAATTTTCTTTTGTACTTTGGTTTTTCTTCCATTTTAATTCATTTTATTTATTAATCCTATACAATCTACCAGAAATATGAGAGGAAGATGACAGCAGGTCCTGAGACTAACCCAGTGCAAAAATAGAGTTTTGATTTTAATGGTCTGTTACTGTAGAGTGAAAACCTACTTGTGTAAATTTCTAACCCGACATTAGTGATTCTGTTCTATTTGAACTTTGTGAGGCTTTCCGTACCAAGGAGAGTTATAACTGGTATTTTGCTTTTAATTTAGCTACCTCAGACTCATCCTTATTGACCTTCACCCATAGTTTCAACTAAGCATTTATCTAACCCGTCAAGATCATGACAAATGCCCCCAGAGTATGCTATGATCAAATATGAAATATCTGCAATAAGAAGACTCCCCTAGGCAAGTGTTAAGAGAGACACCAGAGAACTCTGACCCTTCAATTCAAGTCCCCTTGGTTTTCCCATTAATCTAGAAAGCCTAAAGTAAAGAAGCAATGTGCCACCTGTACACGTGCAGACACATACACAGGATGTGGCACTAAATCAGCATCTGGTAATGTGCATCAGAGAAAAAATGAACTAGGGAAAGAAACTGCAGATCACGTACTACTTTTCAAAACAAAATATCTTACAATATGTAGAATCGCATTTTTAAAGATACAAATGTGGATTTCATCAAATAAAAATGAAATTAGAAGAACTATTTTCATAAATCATAGGTACTTTAAATGTAGCTTTCCTATTGATTTTCTAGTTAAAGTATATGTGTGAAAATATTGCTATATCTTTTAATATACCCATCCTTTATGTTCAGTATATTTTTAAAAATTATACATTGATATTTTCAAATATGGATGTGGGGTATCCACTAATGATAGGATGTTCAGTTTACTGTTTGTAAAATATTGGTTTCCTCCCAAAATTAAATCAGCTAAAAAAAAACATGTGAAATTGAAATGAATTTGTGAATTTCATAGAAGTTTTGCATAATTGCTTTGAAACAAAACAAACACGTCTACTAATTTGCATTCTACATGGTATTAACATGTTAAATGGTATAATACTTGGGATAATGATTAAATGCATACATTCTGTGCTAATAGTCTTTTTCATCATCTGTGACCTGAAAGGAAATTAAATTATTGAATGGTGTCAAAACCTATTCCATTTTGATATTAAATATTAAGTATGACATAGACACGGAAAAATGACGTAGTAGAAATAATATTCCCAACGCAACTTCATGTAGTTTTCTTAGAAGTTGTATTTCAGGAGATGCAGAACTAGCTATGAACTTTGGTTTATAAAATCTATTTCAAACAGCTTAGGATCAAAACTCAACATTGTCAAATACTTCAGTGTATGATTTTAGGCCAATTACTTAACATATTGTGCCTAAGTTTCCTCACTCTCAAAATAACAATAAAAATTAAATTGCCCTTAGTGTTATTGTGAAGAATAAATGAGTTAATTAATGCCTAGTATATAATAAGCACTATAAAATAGTTATTATTTTTTGGTATTATCAGTTTAATTCAATAATTGACAATTTTTCCTAATTCAAGGAGCTAAGTTTCAGATACATTACAAAGCAGTGTACTTTTCAATTGATGTCTTCCAACTGATTAGAAAAAAATTTGAGTTTATTCTCCTGTGAGAAATAAATGACGTAAACAAACGAAAAACCTTAAATGGGGCTTGGAATTACTATAAGCTCCAACAGTGAGAGACAGAGCCACCTTGTGGAATTCTGGGCCGTGTACTGAAGAGAGCTGTCCAGATATAAGATGGGTTCAATATAAAACACGTAAAACAACCATAGACAAGTACTTGAAGTAAATTATAAAAATTCTCTTGGTGATAGCCCTCTAACGAGGACTTTGCTTAGTGTGAAGGGGAAAATACCAAGGTCAAATATGTTTTTCTTCTCTATATTCTCCCTATTAATAAAGGCTAAAGTTAACAGTTTAGGGTCATCATCATCGCAATCCAGTTATTAGTTTCTTATCCCCATTGAGTTACTAAAAAGTGTGTCATGTGGAAACAAAAATCAACAAACGGAACCATCTACAATATGCAAAATCTAAAAGTTGTCATCCTGAGATGTCACTATTGTGAAAAAATAAAATATTTATAGTGTCTGGTTCTTAGTCAATTACAAACCACAAGATGATAAGGGCACGCCAGTTTGCTGGGCTGGCAGGGCACTGCCTTGAGGGATGATCTGATGCTGCATCTTCATTAAAATGCTGACCAAGGCAGCATTAATGTTCCTCTCAGCTTAACCAAACTTTAGACACGCTTCTTCCTATCTCTAGGCCCAGGACCTCCCTTTTCTGAGATCAGTTACTTTAGAATACTTGCAACTGTAAATTCTTTCTCTGCCCCTTTGAGATGTAAATCTTCTCCCAGCTTCTTGAGTCTTTTACAATCCAGGAGCATCCTTCTGAAGAACTCAGGAGCCATCCCTTTGAGATGTAAGGGTTAGTGCCCCATCTCCTAGTTCTGTGGGAGGGCTGCCTTGAGTCAAGTTGTGAAACGACCTCCTGTCATGAAGATGTGAGAAAGTTCACTTCTCCTTTGGGTAAGGCCAATTAGTGAATGCAGACGGCCTGTGATCGCCCCTCCCCAGCTCTTACAATCTCCCCAGCCCTTGTTTGGGTGGAGTTGAACTTACACCGGCCTCACTCCCCCATTGCACCAGCCCTGAATAAATTCTCTCCTGTTTATTTAACTTTGCCCAGTGCAATATTTGCTTTGACACTTTTCATTTGGTATAGAAATTAAGGCTCAAAATTTGACTTTTTAATAACTAGAAATATGCTTCTTTTTTATAACTTTTTACGTGCCTGTTTCTATTGGAACTTAAAAATTTAGGTTCATTGATACATTCTAAAACAGTGTATTCTTTTCCTTTCCTTTTGCAGCCTCTCTTGACAGAAAATTTAAAGCAGTCTAGAATAACTAGACTTTCAGAGTCATGTTATCAGAATCCATTCTTCTGAAATGTACGGTAAATTGAGGCAACACTTCTCTGCATAGCAATATCACAAAGAACCAAAATTCTAGCAAGCATTCACAGCCTTTCTTTCTTTTTCTTGACAACTTTATTGAGATTATCTTTGACCTACAAAAATTGTATACTTTTAAGATATAAAACTTGATGTTTAGATATATGTATATGGTGTGTAAAGATCACCACAATCAAGCTAAAATAACTTACCCATCACCTCTACACAGTTACTATTTTGTGTCCGTGTGTCTGTGTGTGCGTGTGTATGTTACAGCTATTCTCTTAATATGAGAAACTTAGTTTTAGCTCTGAGTTTTCAAATTTGTCCGTGTATAAATATGCAAATTCCTTAGAATTTTTAAATCAGAAATGAGCCCCATATACAGCATATATAATACATTGAAATCACAGAACTCAGGTGTGTGATAAATGCGACTTTCCTTATTCTCCCTTATAAAACTTAGTTTCTGGGGCCGGCCCAGTGGCATAGCGGTTAAGTGCATGCATTCCGCTTCGGCGGCCCAGGGTTCACAGGTTCGGATCCTGGACATGCATCAATGCACTGCTTGTCAAGCCATGCTGTGGCAGTGTCCCATATAAAATAGAGGAAGATGGGCATGGATGTTAGCCCAGGGCCAATCTTCCTCAGCAAAAGGAGGAGGATTGGCATCAGATATTAGCTCAAGGCTAATCTTCCTCACCAAAAAAAAAAAAAAGAAAACTTGGTTTCTGTGTCAAGCCTGTATTTTTTCAAGTGACAAGAATTTACTCTACATTATTGTAAATTTTCTTTGTCATATCAGATTTTTTCTCAGCAACTTCAAATTTAACCTCTGATAATTCAGGTTTTTCATCTTTCTCTTTATTTTGTGGCTGATTCTACATGGGAGCAGAATGTGGTGAAGAATTTGGCTTTCACAGTGTTGTGGCAACATTGGACGTTATTCTTCTCTTTCCCATTCTGTTCATTTCTCCATATTGACCCACCTAGTCTTGATGGTCACCAACAGTCAAACCATGTAATCATTCATTTGTTCAACAAATTTTTTTTTTATATCCACTCAACAAATGTTTATTGAACATTCTCTCCTGTTTGGGATGACACAGTGTCCAAATAATGTATCTCTGACCTCATGGTGCTTACATTGTCACGTTGAAAGAGAGGCAATCAACATAATAAAAACATGTTAGATGTATGTGTAATGGAGGAAAAGAAAGCAAGAAAAGAGAATTAAGAGTGTGAATAGCTGCTATGGGGCCGGCCCCATGGCTTAGCAGTTAAGTGAGTGCACTCCCCTACTGGCGGCCAGGGTTGGGATCCCGGGTGCACACTGACGCACCACTTGTCTGGCCATGCTGAGGCAGCGTCCCACATACAGCAACTAGAAGGATGTGCAACTATGACATACAACTATATACTGGGGCCTTTGGGAGAAAAAGGGAAAAACAAGAGGAGGACTGGAAATGGATGTTAGTTCAGGGCCAGGCTTCCTCAGCAAAAAGAGGAGGATTGGTATGGATGTTAGCTCAGGGCTGATCTTCTTCACACACACACAAAAAAGTGTGACTAGATGCAATTTTAAATAGGCTGGTAAGGGAAAGCCTCAATGGAAAGATACTATTGACCCCAAACTGACTGTGATGAGAGAATGAGTCATGTTCACATTGTGAAGAAGAGCGTTGCAGGTAAGAAAAACAGTACCTAGAAAGGCTCTGAGGAAGGAACAGACTAGTGGGTTCTGGGAAGAGCAAAATCCCTGAGTGAGTGCATGACAGGAGATGAGGTTGGATGAATATAAACAGATGAGGGTGCATCTCACAGCATTGTGATGACTTTGAATTCCACTCTGAATGAGTTGGGAAGTTATCGGAGGGTGTTGAACAGAGTAGTAATGTGATGTAACATAATTTGAAAAACACTTGGGCAGCTGAGTTGAGAGTAGAGTCAAGTGCAGTAAAAAGGAAATGAGTTAAGAAGATCTTACGGTAATCCAAGAAAGACACGAAATTGACTCTTTTACGGTGGAAACACTAGAGCTAGAGAGAAGTGGTCAGATTCTGGATATACTGTGAAGAAAGAGCCAGCAGCTTTTTGATGAAGTGTAATGTGCAAAAAAGGTCACATGTCATGAGAAAAAGCAACACACACTAAGATTTGGGCCTGAGCAACAGGAATGATGGGATTATCACTAACTGAATTGAGAAAGACCATAATTGATACAGCTTTCAGGCATGATCAGGAGTCCAAATTGGCATTGCGGATGCCCAGTAGACATATGAAAGGTGATGTTGAGCAGGCACTTTGCCTATGAGACTGGAATTCAAAGGAGATATCAAATCTAAAGTCATAACGTTGGGAGTTCTAAGTGTATAGAATAGATTCAAAATAAAAACAAAAACTAGATAAAATCACCAAAGTGAGAACAAATGGAAAAGAGAAGAGGCTGATATTTGGGACTCAGGAGAGGAGGAGAATGAGAGGAAACAGACAGTGAAGTTAGAAGGGAAATCAAGAGGCAGTAATATGAAGGGAATTGGTGACCTTGACAAGAGCAGTTTCTGTGGAGTAGTGGCAGCAAAGGATGGATGGGAGTGGATTCAATGAAGAGTTAGATAAGAAAAATTAGGGATACAGTGGAAATTACCTTTTAGATAAGTTTTGCTGTAAAGGGAATACAAGAAAGGGATCATGAATATTTTGTTTCTTTAATGACTACATAAGCCAATTCTAGGAAAGAGAGCATTAGACAAGACAGACAAGGAATACAGGTGCTTTTTTGGAGTGTGTATTATAGGGAAATAAATCACAAAATAAACAAATGAATAAACAATAAATAATGAATAAATGAGAGACAGGGATAAATAAATAATTTGGTTCAAATTAACCAAGAAAACTGTCATGAATATTTCTGCATTTTTTTTACTTGTGCAAATATCCAAAATTTTTAGGATATTTACAGATTATAGATTAATACATATTAATTGATAATATAAGGACCCACACAAGAATATGTTTGTGTAAATTGTAATGAAAACCAACAAAAATATATAAATTAACTCAGTGGGTACCTATAGAAGAAAGGCAGGGACATTGGATCTAGGATGAGCGTAAAAAGCCTTCAATGGTATCAGTAATATTCTGTTTATTAACCTGATATTGGTTGATATTGTTTGCTTTATTAATTATTATTGCCTATATGTTGCGTGTTATTTGTACTTATAAAATGTTTTAAAATTAAGAAGTGAAAGAATATTTTAAAAACGAAATTATGAGATAAGAATTGTCAGACAGTTAGGCACATTTAGTTGTTGTCTTAGTCAATTCGGGCTTCTGTAACAAAGTACCATAGACTGGGTAGCTTATGAAAAACAGAAATTTATTTCTCTCAGTTCTGGAGACTGGAAGTCCAAGATCAGGGTCCAGCATGGTTGGGTTCTAGTGAAAGTCCTCTTCTGAGTAGCAGACTTCTCCTTCTATCCTCACATGTCTGTTGGAAAGACAGCTAGCTACCTTTCTGATCTCTTCTAGTAAGAACACTAACCTCATTCATATGGGCTCCACCCTCATGATCTAATTACCTCCTAATGGTCCCACCTCCAAATACCACCATGTTGGGATTAAGTTTCAACATATGAATTTTGTGGAGGACACAAACCTTCAGCCCATTGCAGTTGTATAGAAATACTGTCAGAGCTATTATCTCACAACAATTAGACTGGAACTAGTGCTGGTTCTGGAGGACAAGCATCCATAACTAGCTCTTGCTTACTTAAGCAACTCTACTATTCCTCCCAAACCATAGCCTTATATTCAAATCTAAAAAAGAAAAAGTAGTTCTTCCATCATCATGCATTCCTTCAAATATATTTTTTTCAAGGCATAAGCATTGGTTTCATCAGAATATTTCATCTAATAAAATTCATTATCAATCCTTTATTAAAGAAAAAATATATTTTTAAATACTTTGAACAGTTAACAATACACTTAGAGTTTAATTGTGACAGCCATCTTATTAAATTTCAGGGAAACATAAGGTTGTCACTTGTGTTCTGGTATAGGCAAAGAAAAAAATAAAGAGGTTTAACTAATGTAAAGGAGTAAAAAAAACAAAATTAGATTAAACATAAAAAAGTAATTACAATTAGAATTTATGCAAGTGGGTGGTTACAAATAAATATATAGAGTATCAATAAGTTCACTATAAACAATCAATAACCAGTTAAAAAATATAATTAAAAAATCACAATAACAGCCAGAAAAAGGAATATGGCAAGTATATATCAGATTTCCAGCATGTAAATTCTAAAATATTTCTAAAGGAAGAGACAAAGCATTTATATCAATAGAGGTGTATGATATTATTTAACATGAGATCTTACTATGTTAAAATGTAAATCATTTCTAAATGAACTAATGCATAAAACAATTAAAAATGAAATTTCTAAAATCATTAGCAGTGGTGAAAAGTTTTCTAGATTTAATATGACAGAGTGCTAATATTAGAAAATAGTATTTTCCAAAATAAACTGATGAGAATTATTTGACTTCTATTGAAGTATTTCAAAAACATAAAAACACTGAAATAGTCAAAACTATAAGGAATTTTGAGATCTGTGGTCAACTATGACTTTGAGATCTGTGACAACCATGATATTGATATGAATATTTCTTGAACACAAAGCCAGACATTGGCTCAAAGTAAAGCTAAAATAGTTTTCAGAAGTAAAATGCACTTTAGCCATTGCTTATTCAAACATCTGTGCATAAGGGAAAAAGAGCTAGTCTCAAATGCTCAAAGTAAGCTATAGCAAACAGTGCTCATTTAAAGTTTGTGGTAATATTTATTGGATTGATATTTAGAATCTACATAAGTATTAGAATTTCTGTGGACCATATCATT